CGCGCTTTTCCATAAAAAAGCCCCGATCGCCATTTTCGCGATCGGGGCTTTTTTGCGCAAAACAAATCTCAGCTGTCTACACTGGCCCTTTTGTGCAAAAGTTTTGCACAAAAGGACTTTTGCCCGAACGGGAGCAGCATAGTATTTCTGCAAGAAGCACTGATTTCAGACAGTAGGAAGTCAGTGTTCTTGCGGAAATTCAAGCGGCCAGTGTAGACAACTGGAAAGTTTTTCTGCAAAACCAGCTGCTTTTGCGAAAAATTTGCCAGTCTAGACACAGCCCTGGAGGACCGGAGTCAACAGGAGAGTTATAGGCAGTCAACTGATTAGGTCTTTACTATATATGCTAAATCAATCACTGGTGGATCAATCACTGGAGCAGGGATCCACCCTGTAATGACAACAAGCCCATATATTCTAACATTTGTCTCACACAACTCCTAACTTCATCTGGCGTGATGCCCACCTGTCCATGGGTAGGATTTGGACCTACATCCATCAATTGACAGAGACAACTCTGTACTGCAGATTTATGGTATATATGCCTCCAAAGCATTTTGATACATTTTAGCATACCATTTAATTATTTAACAAATCAAGGAAATAAGAGTAAGACAACCATACCCTCTGTCTTTCTCAATCTTAGCCAAGCTATGTGAAAGGAAGAAGCTACTGAGCCCCAGAACCTGTAATCTTCCTGTATTTCTTTTTTTCTAGATTGCTTGTTGCCTATTATTATGGCTTTTGTAAAGACTCTACAACGGGATGGGGAACCTTTTTTGGCTTGGGGCCCCCGATGATCCATGGAAAAATCAGTCAGGGGGAGGGGTCACACAGAAGTGAAAAGCAAAAAAAAGAATCCTCATTGATGTGTCCCCGACTGAGAAGGAGAATGACACACCCCACGATCTCTTCGCACACCAGAGCCTAAAGGGGCCCAGGCTAGTAGATTACGTGTGCTCCAGCCCTGGGGCAGAGGGCTGGAGCACAGTGTGGGCTCCCCAACACTGGAAGGGAGCCCTCAGCCTTGGAGGCTGGATCTAAGCAAGCCAGGGGCTGCATCTCATCCCCGGGTCTTAGGTTCCCCATCCCTGCTCTACAAGAATAAAAATTGTCCAATGAAAATGAATACAATTCATGACAGTGGAAGTACTTTTAATCATTATGTAATTATTGCTAAAGTTCTAGTTATCAAGGCAATTTGGTCATTCTTGCAGGAGTTTTCTCAGAATTTGCACATGAATCCAGTAAGTTCTGATGATGTGGGCTTAAGACAGCCAGCAGCTCCTTCATCATGCCAGCACACAAATGGTCATTCCCGCTGCCATTGTTTTTGATTCCGAATACACCACTGACTTCGGTGAGGAATTACCTAACAAAGGCAGCATGGACCAATGCCTTGGGAGTCAGGGGACCTATTCCCATTTCTATCACTGATCTATCACAAGTCACTTCTTTTCCCTCTGCTTCTGTCTTCCCGCCTGCAAAATGGGGATAATGTTATTGACTCAGCACTGTAAAATGAACTCTCTATCAACAATTCCCTTTGATAGTACCTTTTTATTCTTTGAGAGGTAAGAACCTAGATTATAGCCCTCTGATCATTTCTGTTGCCTGTCTACTGTGCCCTATAGTAAGAGAGATGTAGCCGTGTTAGTCTGGTCTTGCTGAAACAAAAGACAGGACTATGAAGCACTTTAAAGACTAACAAGATGGTTTATTAGGTGATGACCTTTCGTGGGCCAGACCCACTTCCTCAGATCAAATTGTGAAAGAAAATTGGCATGACCATATATACCAGATATTTTCAGAGAACTATTCACAATGATTCCAAGATCTTTCTTGAGTGGTAACAGCTGATTTAGACCCCATCATTTTTGTTTGTATAGTTGGGATTACATTTTTCCAGGTGCATTACTTTGCATTTATCAACACTGAATTCCATCTGCTCTTGTGTTGCCCAATCATCCAGTTTTGTGAGATTCCTTTGTAACGCTTTACAGTCAAGTTTGGACTTAACTATTTTGAGTAATTTTGTAATATCAGCAACTTTTACCACCTCCCTATTTACCCCCTTTACAAGAACATTTAAAAGTTGAACAGTATTGGTCCAAATTCAAATCCCAGCAGCACAACACTCATTGCTACTCTTCCCCTCCCCACATCTTTAATGTACCTGGCAATGTTTTCATGAAGATCTAACAATCCCTTAATGACTTGAATGACCAGTCTTTAAGCAGATTTCAAGTATGAAATCCAGGGGTGTGTCTAGAATACATGGCTCCGTCGACGGAGCCATGTATTCTAGACACACCCCTGGATTTCATACTTGAAATCTGCTTAAAGACTGGTCATTCAAGTCATTAAGGGATTGTTAGATCTTCATGAAAACATTGCCAGGTACATTAAAGATGTGGGGAGGGGAAGAGTAGCAATGAGTGTTGTGCTGCTGGGATTTGAATTTGGACCAATACTGTTCAACTTTTAAATGTTCTTGTAAAGGGGGTAAATAGGGAGGTGGTAAAAGTTGCTGATATTACAAAATTACTCAAAATAGTTAAGTCCAAACTTGACTGTAAAGCGTTACAAAGGAACTCACAAAACTGGATGATTGGGCAACACAAGAGCAGATGGAATTCAGTGTTGATAAATGCAAAGTAATGCACCTGGAAAAATGTAATCCCAACTATACAAACAAAAATGATGGGGTCTAAATCAGCTGTTACCACTCAAGAAAGATCTTGGAATCATTGTGAATAGTTCTCTGAAAACATCTGCTCAATGTGCTGTGGCAGTCTAAAAACTAAATATTGGGAATCATTAGGAAAGTAATAGTTAATAAGGCAGAAAATATCATATTGCCTCTATATAAAGTTATGGTATGCCCCACATCTTGAATATTCTATGCAGATCTGGTCGCCCCATCTAAAAAAGATATACTGGATTTGGAAAAGGTACAGAAAGGGCAACAGAAACGATTAGGGGAAGGAACAGCTTCCATATTATGATGCCGTCTACAATCACATGTAATGCACAAGAAAGTTCAAGTAAGATCTCCACCCCATATGCCCACCAAATGAAACATGAAACAGTGCCAAAAACAAACTTCAGGAAGAAGATTTGAAAACCATGATCTGACTGTTGATATTTTCCTGTATGTATCACTCCTGTGAATGAGGAGCAAAAAACTTCATGGTGTTATCTTCATTTCCAAAAAGGAGCTTGCCAAAAGTACAAAGTCTGGGGTAAGGATTATTGGGTGAGTTGGGTACTTGGAGAGGATTTCAGAGAGCTAGGTGTTTTCCTGCTTCACCACAGACTTCCCGTGTGATACTAGCCAAGTCATTTCATCTCTCTGCCCCTTAGTTCCCCACCTACTCAATGGGTGTGTTTCTAGACTACATGGTTCCGTCGACGGAGCCATGTAGATTAGGGTTGTAGGCAAAGGCAAATGAAGCAGCGATTTAAATAATCACCGCTTCATTTAAATTTAAATGGCTGCCACGCTGTGCCGATCTGCTGTTTGGAGGCACAGCGCTGTAGTCTGGATGCTCCGCGGTCGACATCATTTGTCGACCTCCCCAGTATGCCTTGTGGGATGAGGTTTACCGGGGAGGTCGACAAATGCCTTTGATGTTGACCGTGGAGCGTCCAGACTACAGCGCTGTGCCGCCAAACAGCTGATCGGCACAGCGCGGCAGCCATTTAAATGTAAATGAAGTGGCGATTATTTAAATTGCTGCTTCATTTCCCTTTGCCCAGTAAACAAATCTACATGGCTCCGTTGACAGAGCCATGTAGTCTAGACATACCCTGGGATAACAACTCTGCCCAGCCTCCCAGGGCGACTGTACAGAGAAAGCCACTAAAAAAAGATCCTAAAGGCTCTGAACTCTACTAATAAAAACTGCTATAAAAGAGGTGCATAACTACTAATTATCTTCAGAAATAGCTCAGAACTGAACAGTTAGCCAAATGTATAGTCTAAAACAGAAATACATTTATACAAGGCAGTAAATGGTAGGAAGAAATACACACTGTAGCATGCTAAACTCAGAAGATTTTTATTATTCTTGTTAACATTAAGATAAGTGAACCCATATAACAGCTACAGGCACGTACAGTATTTCACTGTAATCAGGAGAGGGAGAAAGAAACTCATGATGTGCACAAAAAAAATCATGTGCAGCTAAAAAGCTAACACAAAGTGGCACATTTATGCTGAAGTAACCAGCAGCAGCTCTAACCTTCTCAGGGTTACTGAACCAGAGTAGAGCTGTGGAACAGATATTTGATTCTAAAGCAGTTGTGCACCTTTAGAACCTGGTTGGGTGCCCAATTAAATTCATAGGACTTTTTTTTTTTTTTTGGATGGGCGATGGCTCAGTCACAACAGCCACACTAGAAGATAGCCATATCTGTTCTACTGCCTTCGTAGTACCTGGACAGTACTGATTTTTTTCTCAGCTATTCACTTTTGCACAAAGATAAATCCTCTAAATCATTTCAGTCAGTCCAATTTATAAAACAAGAATTCCACAAAATGAGAAGACAAGAAATTATCTTGTCAAATCTAATGAGCAAACAAAGCAATGCTCACATGAGCTGTAACACCACCTTCCATTCCTTGGCACTGAAAAGTTAAGAAGAGCAAGGGCAGCAGCAGCAATATAAAAAGACTCATTTTTGTCAATAACAAAAAACTGCATAATGCAACAGAGCAAGAAGTGCTTTCATTTACGAAAGCGAATGTGCATGCTAGAGAGAAAACAAAGCTGTAGAAAGCTTAATAGGCACAGTTATATTTAGAAAACAATTCAATTTTGCAACATAATTTAGAGTGCTGCCTCTCATTTATAAGTGATTGCTAGCTAAATAAAAATGAACCAAAACTTAATATACCAGATGTACTTGGAGAGCAAACCATTCAGTCTCTTGTATTGATTATTATAATTAAAGGAAGTCTGAGAACTATAAAATGAGTCATTTGGTGAACAGCATTGCACATCACAGGTACCGTATAAGAGGAAGATACCAAACAATTTATTGAAGGTTTATATGTTATCTACTTTGATCACTTAGATGCGCTGCTCTGATCCAGGACAATTACCCTGAAATAAAAAAAGAGATTAAACAAAAAATATTTTCTTGCATATGCAGTTCATAAGCAGTGATGGGAATGGGATTCTAAAGCACCCTCAGGGTACGTCTACACAGCAGGGCTAAAGTCGAATTAAGCTATGCAATTTCACCTGCGTCAATTGCGTAGCTTAAGTTGAAATAGTTTAACAACTTGGCTTTAGGTGCTGCCTACACAGCAGGAAGTCAAAGGAAGAACACTTTCTCCGACTTCCCTTACTCCTCGTGAAATGAGGGTTACAGGAGTCGGAGTAAGACGTCCTCCAGCTCAACATTATTTTGAAATAAAGCTTATTTTGGAATAACATCAGTTTTTCCGAAAAGACACTGCTGTGACACTGCTGGAACCAAAGGCACACCAAGCACACACAGTAAAAGGAGAATGCACATGTTCTCCAGCACTGTGGAATGAGATTTATTAAAAAGGAGAATGCACATGTTCTCTTGCTCCCGCCCCAGTGTTTTTACAGGCATATCTTTGGCTCAGATCCTCAGAGGTATTTAGGCACTTAGCTCACAATGGGAGTTGAAATCAACGGAATAGGTACCTAAATACCATTGAGGATCTTGGCTTTGGGCAGATATTAATATAAACCCCAAAACTGGTAGGTTGTGATCCAATTTATTTGGCTCACTTGGCCAAACATGAGGTTGAGAGACTTCTTTGTCTTTCAATTGTACTAGCTAATGTACAGTGTGAATTTGGAGCACATAGCTGTGGTGTCACCAGAACAATGGACTTTCTCACAGACAAATACTAAAAGAGGTTTACCTGAATGGAGAAGGCCAAGGCAGTCGCTGCCATAAGCTGGGTTTCTGATCCTCAGGATTTATAACTAGAAAGGAAATAAACCAGTACAGAAGCAATGAGAACATATGCATCCTACCTTTTCAGTACCTCATGAGGAGAGGTTTGTGGGGCTGGGTCATCAACATGTAATAAAACTGAAGAGATTGCTGCTACAGATCCCATTAAGCTGCAATTGTATTCAGAAACCTGCAGCTATCTGTTACTGTGCTTATAAAGGTAGATTGTACTGTATCTTCTCTGCAGAACCATTTGCTGGGGAAAACATTCCTTGCAGCACTGAACAAGTCAGAGCTGATTCCGCTAAATTAACTCTTGCAGGAGAAGCCCCACTGAAATTGTCCGAGAGTCTGTTAGCACATGTGTAAAGTGAAAACTTAGCCCTTTCACTTCCAGATGTGTGTGTTTACATACATTGCCAAGATTTTCAAAACCTAATTTGGGAAACTTTAATTTTTGGGTGCCTACTTTAAAAGCTCAGTAACCACTCAATAAACAGCTGACTTTAAGTCATTTCATGGTAGGCATTCAGAATCACAAGCCACAAGGACTACAATCTTAAGACTGCAATGGTGTGTTTTTTAGAGAGACCGTAGGATTCTAGCATGTTTGTTTATACAGTAACAAATACAAGTGTACCAATTACTGCCCCCATTTTAAATGAATGTCTCTTAATGAGTAAAAAAAAGAGAACAGGAGAGTGTTACTGTTGAATCTGACATTACTCACCAGCTGTAAAATTCCTTCCAGAGCACCTATTTCAACTGTTTCCAATGAAGGTCCAGACTCAGAGAGGATTATACTGAAGTACAATTGCCTAAGCCAGAGTACAGAGATGCTCTCCTCTCACTACCATCCCTAAACGCTTCTCTTATTTATGCTGTTCCTTGTATCCTGGGGGTCACATAGCCTAATGATTATGTGGTTGCTTCTCAACAACCATACTTTGGCTAAAGAGTATTATTAGACACACAGTTTGACTAAGGGAAGCACCACTGGAGTAAAATGCCAATTGTTTGGGGGAGGTGGTTATTTTCAAATTAGCTCGTTTGAATTTTAGAACCGAATTCATTCTTCCCATAATGCCTGATTGGCAGGCCTGTGGTTACCGGAGAAGGACAACAACAATAGCTGCAGTGTCTCAGCTGTCGTGCTCTTACTACATGGTAAATGGTAGCTGCTTCCTCCTAATCTAAAGAACCTAAGGTGTGGGTGGTACAAACCAGTCGGTAGCAGTGGAGTATCACAAGCTCGACTCAGTGGAAGGCCACTACATCATTAAGAGGCATATAAAGCAGAGGAAGTTCCTTTGATCTGATTCCTTTCCCGATGAAGAAAGTATGTCCTCCTCACCAACTCCTCTCGTCCTCCAGCTAGTAGGAGGAGAGAAAGGGGAAGGCTAGCGGATGGATGGCTTGACTTAAAATATGCCTACACTGTGATAAAAACCCCATGGTGGGCAGGCAGGACTGCTCCAGCCTGCCTGCCCTCATTTAAGCAATTAACTAGTTAAACGTAACATTTAACTGGTTAACTGATTAAACGGGATTTTACATCTCTGCTTATAATATGAAGGCCTTACTATGCCTCAGCAAGGTAAATGGGATATGGACACTATGTGATCACAGTTCCCCCAAACCACATTGATAGCTCAGTGTGGGAAGCTGCACTCTTGTAATCAGTGGGAATCAGTAAGAGAACAGTAGCTAACAGTCTTGCTCAGTGCAAGGTATTTATTGCTAATAAACTCATTGCTGCCAGGATAATAAACAAGTCATTGCCAAACATGGTATATCAGAGCTTTACAGATGAAGAAAGACCTTCAGTATTCCCTGCACAGCTTTCGGTCTTTCTGCTTTCTGCCATGGTGCCACCTTCCTCTATTCCATTTTCCATTTCATCATCTCCTTGATCTTTAACGTTTGTTGCCCTTCAATGACAGAGATTTGTGTACCAAGTCATAATTTTATACTTTATTTGAGATAATTTGAATAGAAACAGACCATTAATATATAAGTCCCTGAAATTACTATGCATCTGCTTTTTGCTCTTGTGCTCTGTTGTGCTGAGCCAGGAGATCAGTTGGCAGTGGTGCATTACATTTACAATTAGACTCCAGTTATCCTCCATCCCCCTCTTTTAGGATCAGGATTTATCAGCTGCGTACAACAGCAGAAGGCAGCAGCAGCTAACCACCATATACTATTTCACTTAGGCTGCTTTCAGCAGATGCCTGAAACATTAAGCATTCTATGGCAGCAATGGCTTTGGATCAAGCCCTCTATCTAACATCATTATACCCATCTAAAGCAACCTGACCTGCAGCCCCACCAATTTCCTTCCTTTCATCAGGATATTTGGGCTGTGTGAGGGAAAAGGCATTTTGATGCCAAACAAATCAACATGTATCCATATGGGACTGTATGCGGCCCTTTGACTCCAAAATGGAGTTGTATTGTATGAGTGATTAGTACACTTGGTAAGGGGGAGGGGAGAATCTTCTGAGACATGCTCACAGCTCTCACAGCACATTCTAGGCTCTAGTGGCTGGTGCTAACAAGGGGGGAAAGATTATCTGAGGCATACACCAAGTCTTTTTTATACAGTGCTTCTATGACATTTGCCAATTTCATAATGATTTCCCAAGTAGTACTGACAAATGATTGCCCTTGTGACGGGGGCACTCGCCCCCGCACTAGAGGCTGGCCACACCAGGCAGGCGTCCGCGGGAGCACAGACGCGGCAGGAATCCCAGAGGATAGCCGTAGCGGCGCCACGCAGGCACGTGAGATCCCGGCACATACCTGGCCGGCATTAGGGCCAGGGAGGGACCCAGCCAGGGACATCTCGGGAGGAGGGAGAAGCAATGGAGGCATGGCGCGTGAGGATGCCGGGAGGGAGAGTCAAAAGGGGAAAGGAAGGGAAGGAGAGAGATCAAACGGCACTGGGGCTGGCGCGGTGTTTCCGATTCCCTTGCAGGCCAAGGCAGGGGAAAGGAGCCCGGAGTAGCCCGCTGTGGGGGCCCACCAGGGACGGACACCAGAGCCGAGGCAGGAGAGGAGCCCAGGGTGGGGAGCCCGGGTATGCCGCCCGATCAGGGAGTCTGGCAGCAGCACACTGGCCCGAGGTGGCAGGGGACCTCGCGAGGCAGGAGGCCCTGGATCTGGAGGAAGTGGACTAGGGAACATGGACCGCAGGGATGGCTGAAGGGCAGGACAGAGGCAAGGGGGGAGCCTTCCGGCAAGGAACGGAGGCCGGCTAGCCGTTCCCGGGCCTGAGGCGCAGGAACCCCTTGCTACAGCCCTAATCAGGACTTCTACTTTCCACCTACCAGAGACTATATTAATAACATGGTCCCTTCACTCTGAATCCAAGAGTAAGAGTCCCAAAGCTTGATGGCTCCTATAATGTTCTCAAGGGCATTGCTGCCACCAGAATGACAGTTTACTTTCTAGAGGATTAAGCATAGGCTTATGCAAAAATAAAAGCATAATATACTTATGAAAGAAATGTCCATTATCCCCTAACCTAACAAGGTGTCCCTGAGGTTCTCCTTGGACTTCGTCATCCTCAGGAATTGGTTGGAGAATTCTTTCTAAGAGATCATCAAGAGTAGAATGAGCCCTGTTGAATGACACATTAGAAAGGAGATTGATATACTGGATATTCTGAACAATTTCTTTATGTGAATTACTCAAGATCACCAAAGATGAAAGAACATTTATTTTAAATAGCTAATTTATGTTTCACCATTTGTGTTATTTACTTGTTGTCTCCCATGTCTGGGGAAATAGGCTTGGCAGCTTTATTATAATTTATAGTCAGTTTCACATGAAGCTTCGTATCCACAAGCACAAAATTGCGGGGTTTGGGCTGTAAAGCGTTTATATCCCCCTTAAGGCCCAATGTAAAGAGCTCTTAATTTACATAAGAATCAGGTTCTGAATGTTCATTATCAAACATTACAATGATAGAGTTATATATGGGACAGGAATTATTAAGTCAGGTGCATCCTACAAGATTAAGCAGGTGGTCCCTAGGAGGACATGGATCCCGGGTCAAGTCCCCTGTCCCAGACTCTGCTCCCACACTGCCCCTTCCCACACTTGCTCTGCCATTGCCACATTCCCACTCCACTCATTCCTCCAAGCCCAGCTCCTGCTCCATCCCCACTCCGCCTCCTCTTGCCTCTGCTCTGCCCCCTCCTGCCAGTGTCCTGTAAGCTGATTGCTTTGTTAGCTACCCAGAAGAGAATTCAAATGCCACCCAAATGATTGGCAGAGTGCCCACAGCCGGCAGCTTGTGTTTCTACTGGTGGTGCAGATCCACACGTGCCTCGGTGCACATAACACAATATATTCTGTATATAGATGGAAAAAATTAGAGGGAACATTGGTCTTCCCCACTCACAGTGGTGGTGGGAGCGCTGAAAGTGGAGTGATGTACACAGCAGCCTGCACTGTTCTGCCACTCTCTCCCAGCCATGTTGCATAGCTTCACCGCAGCGGTGGGAAGTGCTCCACTCCACTTCCCTAAGCAATGCAGGACTCAGGGGGAGCAGGCTGGAGATAGGGCACTCTATTTCCCACCACAGTTGAGTGCAGGATGGCCAACCTCTGCTGGCACCGTGTACCAGCTCCCACCTCCAGGTAATCCCGGTCCAGCCTGGGCCTATGGGCTCCCAATCAATATGGGGAACCGTCCCATCCGCAGGACTATTGGAGTGGCTGCCATAGGCCCTCCCAAAGTGCAGAGCCCGGGGCAGCTGCCCTGAACCATCCTGTGGACAGGATGGCTCTGGGAGTATGCACTTGTCAGAAGTAATGTTCAACATAATGGAGGACAACTTACAACCTGCACACAATCAACTGTAACATAGTAGCATTCTCTGAAATGCTTTTAATTCCAGATGCAGTGCCAGAAAGACTGGCAGAACTGCTAGATTTCAATGAATATATGAAACAATACTGCTGGGAGGAGGAAACCTTTTGGGAAAGGAGGCACTTACACACGAAGGATGCGTTCCACCTAAACAAAAATGAACCAGATTGTTGGCATGTAAAATGTAAGAGGCTGTAGAGATTTTTAAAACTAAGGGCTGTGGGAAAGTCAACAGGTGTGAAAGAGCACAAAATTTGGGTAAAGACATCCAGTAGGGATGAATTTATTAAAAGGGGCACTTTCTACTCTCAGAAAGAGAGGAAGGAAGTTGGTAAAACACAGTTAGGAACATACAAATGTAAAAGAATCCCATTTAAAGACAACACATGAAGGCACGTAACAGAAGACTGATGGAACCCCATGTTCCAGGTATCCCTGAACCTCAGACTGCCAGAAAATGGGATTAGATGGCAGGATTTGATGAGAGTATTGTTCAGAATTATCCTTTTCTGTTCATTCCTTCTGAAGCATCTGACACTTCTCAATTGTCGGAGATAGGATACTGGGATAGAGGGACCAATCATCTGACCCGGTTATGCTATTCTTATGTAACATAATTGAACAAACTCTACTTTAACTCTTTACCAACCAAGATCTAAATTACTTTGGAAACAGCCTTCTTACTCTTCTTTTTTAGTACCTTTCTGTTTCTTCTGCTAGATTCAATATCTCTTTATTCCATAAGCTGTGATCTACCTCTCCCTTATTCTCAAATTCTTCTTCCTCCTCTTTGTCTTCTGGATTAATCTGAGTGAGAACTATTTGCATAAACAGAGTGACTTTTAATACAAAAGACAGAAGTGGTTAAAGAAATTAAAATGCATTTGTACATCCTACTCTGCTTTTGAAGCTTTCATTTGTCAGTTTCTTTAGCATCCTGCCCCAAATCATCTGATTTTCAATTAAATAAATCCATTGTAGATATATTTTTAGAAAGGGCCAGTAGCAAGACACAGATAAGTAGTGAAATCCACCACCTTTCTATATTCACAGGAGCAAACTTATTGCTTTGTGCTAAAATGGAAAATGCACAAGGAAATAAATCTTTAATCTTTTCCCTTGCCCTTCTACATATGGCAGAAAATCAAAAGGAAACCTGTACATGTTGGCTTTGTTGCCCTATTTAGCAGGGTCCAACAATATTTATTTTCCCTAGACTTATCTTAGTAAATTTTGTTCCCTGCAGCATGTGAATTAATTCACAAGCTGCCTTCTGCTAAGCTATGATAAGCAGGAAGCAGCAGGCTGTCACTAGAATGAAATCTGAAATAGCTATACTTTATGCAAATACAAAACCCCATGCCGAATGAACAGCGAGCAACACAGGATACTGCATTCCTCACCACCTAAGAACAAGATACACCTATGTCTGAATACTCACAGTGGCCTCTTTACCTCAGGAAACTATTTTAAA